AATTGTGGCACTTATTTACCAGCTTCAGGGGCACAAATTGGACCATGCCACAAAGGGCAAGTCAAGCTAGAGAAAGCTGGAACATTGAAGGCAGTGGCAGTACAGACCAAAGCAGATGGAGAATTGTCCCAGCAGTGATTTGGTGGACCATATGGAAGGAAAGAAATATGAGATGCTTTGAGAGTATTAGTAGTCCCTTACACAGGATCAAAATGAATTGCATAATCACTTTTTGCTATTGGTGCAGTTTGGAGTATGTAGATGATCATATAGTTGTTATAGATATCCTAGGTTCTTTGTAAGTTGAAGTAGGTTCTAATTTTGTTTTGTTTTGTTTTGTTTTGAGTACTCGCAACTGTATGTAGCTCCATGATGTAAATTTGGGATCCCAGCCTTTAGTGTTGAAGATTAATACACAAAACTGTTACCTTTGTCAAAAAAAAAAGAATGAACCCAACAATAATGTCGATGTTTTTATCGTATTCAAGCCTAACTCGAAGGCACAAGGTTCTACATTAATGTGATCATGCTAGTTTAACTTACAAGAACCTACATTATATTTTCAACCTTCATCTTTGAATATTAATCATATTTTAAGTTTTCTAAAATTCGATAAAATCTCTTTTGCATCTAAAATTATCTCCAAGAGCATTATAATTTTTCCTTTATCACAATAATCAACCTTCCTTAAACTCCAACAAAAAGTCACATCCATCTATTCATCAACACAATACTCAAGCCTATCCCTATATTCATTTCATTGCTCCTTTAATTTGTAGCTAAACTTATTCAAGAATTTTTCGTTTTCGAACTCCTACCACCATCCAAACTTACTTTTATAAGAACATATTTTCCTTTATACCAAATAGACCCACACCCTAAGCCTAAAGACTCGTTTGATTGAAAACAAATTATTTTGAAATTAAATTTTTTTTTAAAAAAAAACATAACCTTTTTTTCTTTTTAGTTTGTCTAAAAAAATCAATATTAAATAATATTTTAATACATTTAATATAACTTTAATCTAAGATTACAGAATTAATTTTTTTTTTTTTATTTCTTAAACTCCATACCTAGTTCATTCTTTTTTAAAATGGAAAAAATATTTGAGGATTGTTATCCACCCTCAACATGGATATATTTACTATATTTTGCTTTCTCATAATTATTGGACAATCATATACTTTCCCTCCTCATAATTAATTACTACTCCATTAAAGATGGAATGCTAACTAACGTACGCCACTAAAGTGCACCACAATCTACTAACATACGCACTTTCCTCTTCCTCTTTTCCACCTGAAATACAAAACCACTACCCCACCCCCACCCCCACGCCCACTACCCATCAATTTTTCTCTAACATGCACCATTACCTCCTTTCTTCCTTCATCACCATGGCTCCTTCTTCTTCTTCTTCTTCTTCTTCTTCCCTCTCCAAACCCCTAAAGAAAACCTCAAACTCAAACCCTAATTCAAACCCCACAAATTCCCCAAATTGCCCTTCTTCCCACCATAACCTCTGTAATCACTCCCCTTCAGCTACCCTTGATCTTCTAATATTCATTCTTGTACTTTTTTCTGGTGCTTTCCTCATCATTTCCTACTTCTCATACATCTTTAATTCAATTTCTCTCCTTTTCCCATACCCACCGTCACTTTTACTCAACACCCTTTTGACCCATCTCGAAGAAGTGGACGTTTGGACCCACTACATCTTTTACATATTCTTCGTTATTGTTTTCGTTGTCGTGGTGCTTTTCTTTGAGATCTGTTGTGGGTTTGGGTTTAGATCAAGGAAATGTGGGCAAAATGGGTGTAAAGGGTTGAGAAGGGCTATGGAATTTGACTTGCAATTGCAGGGTGAAGAGTGTTTGAGATCTGGGTGTGAGACGAAAGCTGTTAGAGAGATCAATCAGTTGCCTTGGAAAGGAGGGAGTGAGAATAATCCAGATTATGAATGTCTTCGTGCTGAGTTGAGAAAAATGGCACCACCCAATGGACGTGCTGTGTTGTTGTTTAGGTCTAAATGTGGGTGTCCTGTTGCTAAACTTGAAGGTTGGGGTGCTAAACGAGGGCGTCGGCACAAGAAGTGAGTTGTTTATCTTTTTTTACTTCTTTTTTTTGCATTTGGAGTTATGGACTTTATGTTGATTGTGTTTTGGTTTGAGTTCTGTTACTCGAGTTGATGATTATGCATTCTAAGAAGTAGTTCAGTTGTGCTGATAGAACAAGGAAACCTGTAATGGTTGCTGAAGTGAAATTTTACATTTGAAGAAGAAACTGCTCTCATAATGATTAACTAAAAAGGTGCTACTCTGGTTTGGATTGATTTGAAGGATATGAGACTTATCTTGGAAATAAGATAGAGAAGATGATGTGATGAGGTAGAAAGAGCTGTTTTATAGATGAGAAATTTATAAATTGGGATGATGATGCTCACACTTTTTAGCGCTTCGTTGTGTCTGGCAGGTTGCTATAGGTCAAATGACATCCAAGTATAGTTAGCACCGAAAGTAAATAATTATCTATGAGTTTGTTGAATTGATTCTATCCATTAACAAGTGATTATAATGTTACTAATTGACACCATAGCTATGAATTGTCATAAAGACCAGTCAATAGACTAGGCCTCAAGTCAAACTAGTTGGAACTTACTTATGAATCTCTGAATCCATTATGTAAAAGACAGATAAAGGGTTCTCTAAATCATACACTTATTCATATGCTGACGTTATACACTTCTAACTAGATTAAGAAGCGGTTGGTAGTCACTAGACCTAGACATGTGTGCCAACAAGGAATGGTTCCCCAATTCCAACTTATTTGTATCACCTAAAAGGACTCCTTTGGTTCTATTTTGTTTGGTTCTTAAGTAAATCCGCAACGATTCCAGGATAGTTGGTAATTTGACAAGTTCTGTTCGTGTGATTTTTAGATCTATCTAGGTCCTTTTTTATGTTGAACCTACAAAAAGTGCATATCAAGGTTTACCTAGGACATTGCTAAGCCATGTCATGCAATATACTCTTGTCGTATCCTCTACTGGTTGCACCCTTTGTTGGATCTCTTCATATATATTTTTTTGATAAGTATGAAATACTCATGCACATTGTAGTATTAGGTACAACAAAAAGAACTCTATCCTTCCTCTTAAAATGATAGAATGGACCAAATCTTTTTCTTCTAATTTTGTCGATCATTTATGACTACATATCCATCTTATGCCCATATAATTCATCTTGCGGATATGATGGACCTTAAGAGGCCCAACATTATATCTCGTATAACTTTGTTGTTGTCATAATTATTCTATTGAATTACCAATTTCAAAAAAAAATAAAAATCTATTGAAGTCATGGATCAAAAAATTATTCTATAGAACTTGTCTTTCACGTTGTTATATCTTCCTATCACATAGCATTGTCGTAGTACTCCTCCATTTTCTTCACCCTATTTCAAATGTTTGTGTTACATCTTCATCTATGATTTTTCACTTTGTCGGACTAAATTGAGTATGTTGTTGTTGTTGTCTTCATCTATGACTTTTTAAAGAAAATATCATCTCCATCTTTCATGTCAATTCTTAGAGGAGTCTAAATATCTCAATCGCTTGTATTCGAACACTACAATTAGTCTTAACTCACCTTCATTCTTCTTATTGGGACTACATCTCTAGAGTATATATTTTGTCTTCTAAAACCCATATTCCTGAAAAATATTTTTTCATAGTTTTATCATTTGGTTGATGCCTTCATTAGTTTTGTAAATTTACATATTACCATCTGTATATATAACATACACCATGAACTCTCATTTTGTATACTCCATCCGTCCCAATTTATGTGACACCGTTTGACTTGGCACAAAGCCACAAAGTTTAAGAAATATAGGAATACTTTTAAAATTTGTGGTCTAAAACAAACCTTAGACATTTGTGTTGACTATAAATCATTTCAATAAAGCCTAAGGGTAAAAAATAAAATTTTGAGTTAAATTCTTTCTTATTATAGAAACGTGACATTCTTTTTGGGATGGATTAAAAAAGAAAGTATGCCACATAAATTGGACAAAGGGAGTATTATTGGTGAGTTCATCCATAACTAGGTTAAACAAGTATCCGCTCAAAGCAAGTTCCTAGTGTAAATTCATGTTTATAGCAAGTCTATTAGATCTCTTCCCGTTGTTTTATACTTGTGATTGCTCCTTCATACATATATTTTATGTTATTATATGTTTAATATGAATTCCTTTCTCCCGAATGAATGGTGGGGAAGCTTTGGGAAGAAACAGTTGTTATGATTGAGTATGTTGTCATCTTATGACCATTAACTTGTTTTTATTACTCAGTTTGAAGTTTGGAGATTGACATTTTAGGAATAGGCAGTAAAATGTTTTATGTGCAAATGTATTATCCAAATTTCCAAAATGTATGGGAAGTGAATGTAAGTTTTGTCACAGCTACCAAGTATAACTTGTAAGTTATTGCTTTTCTATTTAAGAATAAAAAAAAATAAGATATTGCCTTTCTGTATACAATCTAAGTGTAATGCTCATCCGGTGCTGAAGCAAAATATCTTCTAGCCTACTAATTCATGGGAGAAGATTCTATTTTTAAGGGCTTCAAAATGGTATGTCTTTCAATGGTGGGTTTAGGAGTGAGAACTTGGGAGTGCCAAAATTGATAGTGTTGTAGGATAAATTGCAGAAGTTCTTACGGACTCTGCCACTTCCTGAAAGGACTATGTCCAGGGACTGGATGGCAAGACTTCACCCATCCTTTAAACTGTTGTAGACGAGATCACCCCTGTTTCGATCCTCATCCATTTCCCCCCTCAGAGGGCGAGTATTTGTTATTTTAAGATTCGTGTGTTTGGTGAGAGTACCCAGTTGTGAAGTGAATGGAATAGAAAGAAGGAAATGAGAAGATTTTTTCTGCCTTACTCCCTTGATCAATTAGTGGGACATTCTAGAACTACGTTTTAGATTGATGGGTATTTCAGAAGTGAACTTCGCACAAGTCAATAACCTTATGTTTCTTAATGTTGAACGATCAGGACTTTTAGATTATATCTAACATTATCACTCATCAGTAACTAGGGCAAAACATGTACAGTTTCAATGTTGATCCCTGATGTAAATCCACCATTATGGGAAACTCCTTTGTATCTCCTATTGTTGTTCTTGCACTAGTGGCGGCTACTTTATGCATATCTGTTATGACATTTGTATATTAATGTTACCAGTTTCAAAAAAAACAAAAACATTTGTATATTTAATATGGACTCTTGTCTTCTTCAATGCCCACTGAAGAACTTCACGCCATACGATCATATGCTTTATTAGGTCAATGAACACCACGTGTAGATCTTTTTTCCTCTTGCAATAGATCTCCATCAATTTTCTTAGAAAAAATATAATTTCCATTGTAGATTTGCTTAGGAGTTGAGATTTTGGCAGTTGGCTCTCTGTCAGTTTGTGATTTCTCTCTTGGGGGTAGTATGATGGATTTCCTAGAGATTGTGATTTGTGAGTATGGAATCATTGATTTTGCAATATGAACATTAGGTTATAGGCCCAAATCTTCTTTCTCAAGTGGTGGTAGCATAATATTGTTGTATACCAAGATCTGCATTTAGAGTTTTAGAATGCTAAGGAATCGTTTGCTGCAAGGATAAGGGGTTATAAACTTAATCAAAAAAAGGATAAGGGTTTATAATCCCGAGTTAAAATAGGGGATTATTGATAGAATTTTTAATTCCGGGATTAGCACTTTTGGGTTTCTTATACCAGATTCCCCAGATAAAATGTGGAGTTATTGGTAGAATTTTTAATTACAGGGTTAGCAATCTCGGGATTTATGCACCACTCTGTGGGATAATAATCCTGATATCGGGATAAAATAGCACAATGATACATTTACTCTGTACTCAGAAACTTTTCTCCCAAAGTCTTTTAAGAAAGTCAGTTAAAATTAGAAATAAAAGTTAATCCAATTTTATATAGTGAAAACCAAACAGATGTTTTATATTATACTCCAATGAACCAAACCCCTACAAATTAAAGTATATCTGCTGAATAATGTCGTCATTATTTAATCCTAGTATTATAGTCTGCGTTATAAGCTCAGTATAACTTGTCCCCAAGTGTTTGGCTAAGATCTGAGGTTTGTGATCAGAAAATGTTGAGAATTATGTTATAATATTGTAGGCAGAGCATTCTTCAATACCTGAATCAGGTGATTTGATGATTCAGAAATATAGGACAAGATGCCAGATTCAATTAGAGAAGTGTTATCATATTTTATAAGGTTATGGTTACACAGTGTATTTGTTGGATGACTTTGATTAACATCAAGAAGCAATTAGAAGGATTTAGTCAATGCAACATATCCTATCTTTTGTTTTTTAAGTAGTTTGTCATACCCGGTGGAATATGTCTAATTACTTTTTTGATAAGTAGCATGTCTGACTTCTTTGACGAGTGGATTGGTCATTTTAACCATTTTCCCTAGTATAACTTGATCTATCATTCGTATCTTCTTGCAAGCTGACCTGGACACCACCATTATTCAAAATTAAAAAAATCATTCACATCATCCTTAATTTTGACAAGCTCTGAAGTCATCTTCAGCTCCTTGGAATTTCAGTCCTTTGTTATTTGATCGACTGCAGACTGCAGTTTACAAGTTCAAGTAAAGAGGCCCTATTGCTAGTCATGCATATTAAGTAGCACCAGCTTTTCTGTTACCACTAAACGTGCCTTTTGCGCCAGAGAAGTTCTAAATAGATTCAGAAGACCTACAAGACTTAACTATAGTATGCATGTGAAGTTTCAATAAGTTTTATGTTTTGATGTGATGATATATTGACAATGATGATGACGTGGAATTCTTTGGAGTTTATGTTTGCAAAAAGAACTAGCTGATTTCCTGTTAAAATCCTTATGTTGAGCTGTTTTTTTCTGGAATCACATCTTTGAATTGCCGCATGATTTCTGCATTCTCAATCAATTGCATGTGTCATGAGAATTTTTTTCATTAAGAACTGTTTATGTTCTTTCATTCTTTTTGCCCCCTTTCCACGATGACTGACGTATAAATTTGTTGACTAAATGCAGGACTCTGGCAATTAATGGTAAGGCGGATCATCGCTGAATGTTGAATGATTGCATATGGGGGATCTAGTTTGTTACCTTCTGAATATCAGAAGAATGGGAGATTGGTATTGTTGTTTAGAACCATTTTTTGTTGATCCCCATTGACAGAGAGCTCCTTGGAACTTACTTAAGAACAATGCTCAATGTGTACAAACTATAGACAGACCTTATTTTCTTTCCTCAAGAAGCACATATCATATAAACATGAATAAATTACATAATTAGCAGTTACTTTCTCAAATAAGGAATTGCTCATCTTTCCTCCCTCATTACCTGCCAAGTTACTGCAGAGGCGGAACCGGTATTAGGAGTTTGGGGGTTCTAAATTTCCTTCCCCTTCCTTACCATTGAGTTGTCAATCAGTTTTGTTAGGGTTTACGAGTTATTATTTAATTTTTCAGTACAAATATAGGGTCTATGGAAAAGCTACTGGGTTCATCCAAACCCCCACCTAGCTCCGCTGGAGCTAGCTGGGCTACTGCAGTGTTGGAGTGGTGTTTCTTCCCCAATATTTTCAGTCAAAATAAGATTTTGAATTGCCTAATTAACTTCTCCACTTAGTTCTAGGCAAAAGCTTTATTCAAGTGTAGAGAGGCTCATTGTTCATTGAAGGTAGAGAGATATGCTCATTATTCATTGAATTTCAAACTGTGAACTAGGGGTGCACATGGATCGGGTTGGTTACTGTTGTGTTGGGATGTGTTTATAGTTTATGATCTATAGGTTGGGACTTCTAATTTTTTTATTTGTTTTTGTTATTTTTCTTTTACTTAAAAATAAGTGTTTAAAAGTATTTTTTTTATTTTACCAAAACACTATAAACTTACTTAAAAACTATTTTTGACTTGAACAAATCATTTCAAATGGTCTCTTATCCCTGGTTCAGACCCTCAACTTGCCTCATAATCAGCCACTCGCTTCAATTCCAAATTAATTAGGGCTACTTGATTGTATGAATTTTTGCTATAAAAAAAGTATTGTATATATATTCTTGTCATTAAAAAATGATGCATATATATTTTCTTTGTTTAATAAATAATGCATATCAACCCTAAATATTATATGACTTTAAAAAGTTATCTTACTCCGATTAAAAATTAATTTATGATTGAATAAAAAAGGGATATTGAGTTTTTTTCATTTGGATCGAGTGGGTGAAAAATGGGTGAGACAATTTTTTAAAGCCACACATTTTTAGAATAAAAATTTAGTATTAGTTTTTTTTTTAGTTCAATAAATATAGGTTTGTTACCGAAAATGATAAGACGGCGAGGGTATATATTTAACAAACTAGAAATAACAAAATTGTGAGGTATATTTGATCTTTCTCTTTATTTTATTTATAAATAAGATATGAAAATATTTTAAAATATTGCATTGATAAATCAAATATATCTTTTTTGATAAATTACATATCTCTTTTTGTTAGCAATTACCAATATTTAAATATACATAATTAAAGATTAAATAATTAGTTATTTTTTAATATAATTTTTTTTTCATACGGTACAAAAAAAAATATTTTCATGTCAAACATAATTTTTTTCTTATATTTTAAAATTATGATTTACGTTCCAAAATTATTATTATTTCGGTTCGAAAATTTATGATTTCAAATCACATATCCAAATACTGATTTCAAGTCGAATGTCTAAAACAAAGCATAATTGTCAAATGGTTTAGTGAAGGCAAGAAAGCTTCCCATGGTAGTGTGTAATGATCATTGGAATCAGATACAAACCATCCTTTCACTTCCTTGCTCCATTTTTCTCACTCTCTTTTCCCTCTCTCAAATGGGTGTCTTCTTCATCTTCACATGCCCCCTTGGACCTTCAACTCTTCTTGGACAAGGACAAAAACACCAAGAAACAAAAACCCAATTGGGAATTCTCTCTTGTTTCAGCCTTCAAGTCTTGTTCAGCAAATTCATGTATCACACACGGCCAACAACTTCATTCCCTTGTCTTGAAATCTGGTCTTGAATCCAATATTTTTATACTAAATAGCTTGATCACTTTTTATGTAAAATGCGGATTAGTAAATCATGCTAAGATAATATTTGATTCTTGTAATAAGTTAGATGCAGTTTCTTGTAACATAATGTTATGCGGGTATGTGAAATTTGGGTTTTTGAATGAGGCCTATGAGTTGTTTGATAAAATGACTGAGAGAAATTGTGTGTCTTATACGACCATGATAATGGGTTTGATACAGAAGGGATTTTGGAGTGAGGGAATTTGGGTTTTTAGGGATATGAGGTATTTTGGTGTTGGTCCAAATGAGGTGACCATGGTGAATGTCATTTCAGCTTATTTGCATTGTGGGGGGATTAAGGTGGATAAATTGCTTCATGGGTTGGTGTTGAAAATTGGGGTTATGGATTTCGTTCATGTGTCCACCAATTTACTTCATTTGTATTGTCTTGGTGGGTGTTTGAGGGATGCAATGATGTTGTTTAGTGAGATGCCTGAAAAAAATGTGGTTTCTTGGAATGTGATGCTGAATGGGTATAGTAAGGCCGGGCTAGTCGATTTAGCTAAAGATGTTTTTGAACAGATTGTTGATAAGGATGTGGTTTCTTGGGGTACAATTATTGATGGTTATTTGCAAGCAGCAAGGTTGAATGATGCTGTCGAAATATATCGTGATATGTTATATACTGGGATGCGTCCTAATGACGTTATGATTGTAGACTTTCTATCGACGTGTGGACAAGTGATGTCGAATTTTGAGGGTAGGCAGTTTCATGGTGTAGCAGTAAAGATGGGTTTTGATCTCTTGGACTTTATTCAGGCAACAATAATTCACTTCTATGCAGCTTGCGGGGAAGTGGATCTTGCTCGTTTGCAGTTTGAAGTAGGAAACAAGGACCATGTTGCATGTTGGAATGCCCTTATTGCTGGACTTGTTAGAAACAGAAAAATTGATGAGGCTAGACACTTATTTGATCAAATGCCTGCAAGAGATGTTTTCTCTTGGAGCTCTATGATTTCTGGTTACTCACAAAGTGAGCAGCCTGATTTGGCTCTTGAGCTTTTTCATGAGATGTTAGCTATTGGCGTAAAACCAAACGAAATTACTATGGTCAGTGTCGTCTCTTCTATTGCTACTTTGGGGACCTTGAAAGAAGGTAGATGGGCTCATGATTACATTTGCAAAAACTCCATCCCTTTGAATGACAACTTGAGTGCAGCACTGATTGACATGTATGCTAAATGTGCCAGCGTCAATGATGCCTTAGAGTTGTTCAATCAAATCCGAGAGAAAGCTGTTGATGTCTCACCATGGAATGCCATTATCTGTGGCCTGGCAATGCACGGGCATGCACAATTATCTCTGCATATCTTCTCAGATATGCTGAGGCAAAACATCAAACCCAATTCAATCACTTTTATTGGAGTCTTAAGTGCATGTTGCCACGCTGGGTTGGTGGAGGCTGGTGAACAGCATTTCCAGAACATGACTAAACTGCATGATGTAAAACCAAATATTAAGCACTATGGTTGTATGGTGGATCTTTTTGGTAGAGCAGGAAGGTTGATAGAAGCTGAAGAGCTCATAAGGAGCATGTCTATGGAGGCAGATATCATCATATGGGGCACATTGTTAGCTGCTTGTAGAACTCATGGTAACACAGAAATAGGTGAAAGGGCAGCAGAGAACTTGGCAAGAGTGGAGCCATCTCATGGTCCTAGTAGGGTCCTTCTCTCTAACATTTATGCAGATGCCGGAAAATGGGATGATGCATTTCTCACTAGGCAGGCTATGCGAAGTCGAGGATTGACAAGGACAACTGCATATAGTGGTGTTGTATGATAAATTGATTCTGTTGGTTGCTGGTGCAGAAAAAGCTCTTTATGCACTGGGCTTCCAAGGAGAAGAATTCACCTATTATAACTTTTGAGTCTTTCAAATATTTCAAGCAAACTACTGATTTTTCGTCGATTCTTTTCCTTACAATGTCCATCTATACTTGTGTTATTAATCCTAACAAGTTAGGAAACCATAAACATTAACCAAAAGGATTGAAATGAAGTATCTTATAAAATAAAGTAAAAACAGTATAAGATACTTGTTAATCACATTCAGATCATCATTAGTAGTTCAAATCTAAAAGATATATTCCATACCCAATGTACATGACTTCCCTCCCATCAAGAAACAGCCTAAAAACACATAAAGTAGAGTTACACCTTCAAACTGTACATAAGGTTACTTGGGTGAACACTTAGTTTAACTACCAATAACAATCTATCTACAAAATTTCTTATGGTAACTAACAGGAAATACTATGATGAAGCCTCCATGATCAATTCTGCAGCTGATCCCATTGTACCAACCCCTCCAATGCTAAGCAAAGCAAGAGCAAGGTCCTGCTCATGCCATTGTCTCAAGCCTTTACTGAGCTTCTTTAACAACTCTGCATCCACTTCATACACCCAAGTTGGTGTACAACCTACCATCAGACTCACAAACCCCGACACATAGGCGTGCCAAGTAGACGGATCACAACCTAGTGATATCTTGCCATCCAGGACACTGGCTATGAATTCAACATGACGCCCAATGATTTTTGGACGTCGCTTTGATGCCATGGACAACGAGTCCACACCACTGGCAAAAGCCCCACACAGTACTGCAAAGTATGCAAGTGCATACCCTTTGAGCATTGGAACTAGATCACCCTTGTCACCTTCTTGATTAGAGCTGTTAACAGATAAGAACCAAGAGGGAAGAGTCTCTTTTATTAATGACTGCACCAGCCCTGATCCACCAGATAACCATAATAAAGAAGCACCAAGCAAGGCAGCTAGTTTCACCCTTGTCATTGTTGCAGCAAGCGACACATTTCCAAATTTCTTTCCATTTTTGGGTATCTTCAGTTTGTTCAACCGTTGTCTTGGAAGCTCATTGCGTGCTATATCACTTATAGATTGCATCAAAAGTGAAACAATCTCTTCTCTCAAGAACATGATATCTCTGATGGATCTGTAAACTCGTAGATACAGAATACCTGGGGCAACTGGAGAAATACCACCATAGAAATGTGATCCAAATCCATGACCGAGAAGTGCACCAATTCCACCATTGCTTGATATGGAGGAAGAGTTCAAACCAAGGGTGGCATTGAAGCAACTTTTGAGAAGCTGAATGACTGCATGGTTGTTATTAAGAAAGACAGTTCGAGATGCAGAGAAAACGAGGAAGTCACTCCACCTTTTTGCCTTTTGGGTCCACAAA